ACATTTATATCCACCTATTACCTTTATGTAGTCAATCAGCAAATGCGCTGAAAATACAATAAATAATAATGACATATCAGGCATGGGAGAGGAAAGTACTCAACAGCAAATCTTCCCTGATTTGTTTAAGGTTATATTTTAAATAATTAAAGTTTAAGCAAGGATATCTTTCATCTAACGCGGTTTAATTCTTACACAATAAATTAAGTAAAGTCTTGCGTATTATTACTTATTTAAAATAAATTAACACAAAAATGGTTTTTGTACTACCTTTTTTTAAAAATTAAATTATTTAAAATACAAAGTAATATATCCCATCAAATTACCTTTACCCTGCGTCGCAAATCTATGACCTCCTGTCCCACAGTATTCTTTAACAATTCCCCACTTATCCCAGTTGAACAAATCCATTACCTAGGACTCCACCTCGACTCACATGGAATCCTCATACAAGACTGAAACTACAAGAAACTGCTCTACGTTTCCGACTACTTCCACACTTACTAGACAAAAGCTGTCACTCAATTACAAACGACTCATATATATGACAATAATAAGACCTATTTGGACTTACGGAATTGAGCTCTGGGGCTCCACTAAACCATCGAATTCCTCTCGTATCCAATCCTTACAATCAAATATCCTTCGTAAAATCCTCCTCATCATCCGTAAAAATCCTCAACGCTCCTTACATTGTCACAAACAAAATCATTCATAAAGACCTTAATGTTCCATATGTTTCCGATTTGGCCCAATCCAGATACCTATCCTTCCATAACAAACTGCAGATCCATCCGAACCATCTTGTTTCAAACATTGCTTCCTCCTCTACCCTGATAACACTCCGAGGCGTCTGAAAAGAAGATGGCCTCGGGATCTTCGAATATAGAACTTTAATTTGAGTTCTACCAATGGGTAGGTTCTCTTCATATTTTACATGTCATGTTACCAATGCCACATTTACCTGTTGTATTTTTAATGTAATACAGTTGGAAATTTCATTAAAATTAAAATAAAATACAAAGTGTACAGTCATTTCAAAAACGCTTTCCATAATTCTCTCGTATTTTTCCAAATGAAGTTACATTTTATAAAAAAAATAAACAAAATGTAAAAAGAAGCATTATAAATGAAGAAACTGAACAGAAGCATGTAATCTAATTCATAAAGGAGATTTTTAAAAATAAATGTCTTCATTCAATATTATAGCATATTCAAGAATAATCATGAAAATTAACCGAATTTTTAAGCTTCTATTTAACAACAAATCAATGATTTCTATACATTCTTCTAATAGAAATTGGCGCGTCATTATCCCACAAAAATATTTTATTATTCATTATTTCGTTACCATTTTAGTTAATTGTTGTTATTATTTTATTTTTTTATAGCATATCTTACCAAATTATCTTTTGGAGGATATTTCTCTACCTGTATTCAAATATATAGCTAAAATTGCCACTACTGAAAGGTATTTAAAGACAAGAAGAAGATATGGAGTTCTATCTGAACATAAATATGTAAATTAAATTAATTAATGACAATACTAACGTTATAATGAAATTACATCAAGCGGATTCATAGCAAAAACAACCGATGAGTTATCAGTGGTTGAATCGATGGATAATGAGACGTACCAATTTCCATCAATAAATTTAGAGACAGTCTGTTGGATAAACGATGACATCGTGAACTCAACTTATCTTAAAAAATTAACTTATATATGCACATTTCATATATGACTTGTTAACCAAGAGCGTTCAGTTGACTGTATAACTCGTATATATCGTCTCGTATATAATGGCATAAAAAAATATTTTTCCTTTCTTTATAGGAAAATGTAGTCCAAGATGTTAACTTTCACTGAAAAATCTTATTATAGTAAATTAAGAACAAATCAATTTGGGAGCGCCATTAATCAATTTACTTCCTAGCTATTTGCCTTGTTCCAAAGCTTTTCTAACCTAACGATCTCCTGAAAAATTCACTCGTTTGGAGTTAATACACTTTTTCTCGAGTGGGCTATGTGGAGGAAACGAATTACTAAATCTATCTTGATAAAAACCTTCAGTATTTATATTTTCATACTAAGAAAATTTTTTTAGGAACATATATTTGTTAACACTTTACCGAACACTGAAATTTAGCTCCTTTCATGTAGTGAAAGTACACACTGGTTTTCTTTGTAACCTGATCCAAACAGCTGTCAATATACAAGGGATCGAATTCCCTATTTAATAACATAAAGAAACTTTAATTATTCAATCTCAATTTTTTTTTTCATTTTGGAGTAAATAAACATTTTTCTTTTTATCAAGGCCAACATTTCTTTTAAAAATTAAAAACGAAATATAATATTTCTAACAGATTGATGGTTGACATTAGTGAATAATTGAAGAGAAGATTGGTTGGAGTGATCAGTAAAAATAAAAAAATTGCGATCGTGAAAGTTTTCTACGGAAATTCATGTTTTGAGGTCTCCTGAGTCATAATAACCAAGTCCCGAAAAATGGTCTGTGTGTGTGTCTGCGTATATATATATATATATATATATATATATATATATATATATATATATATATATATATATATATGTGACGAGTCAAAAACGAAAAGTAGTATGAAAGTTAAATTGAAAATTTGAGGTTTTTATAAGTCTCGGATGTTACAGCAATCTTTTTGTTAATCGACAAATGGTACTTTATACAATCGATTTAACACGTTTTTACGATTTTCTCAAAAACACCTCCAAAGATTTTAATTAAACTCACTATATCAGTGTATTATCAAGCAGTTTTTAGTTTAATGTATGTTTTCTTCTCATTGTAACAGGGCTTAAATCGCTAATTTTCAATGTCAGATTTCTGTAAAGTACTTTTAATTGTTTTTATTTCAAATAATTAACCATCTTTGATAAAAAACATATTTAAAAGATGAAAGATTTTGGTATCTAACTAATGGAGAAATAAGATATTGTAATAGAGAATAGTTGTAATGAAGGAACCAAAGTAATACGAGCGCGACCGAAAGATCACAACAGACTTCCATACCTAACATGAGTTTAATGTAATACGACAATATTAAGTACATAGACATATACGATTTTCATAAATGCTTTCGTTGGTATTATTTAATATTTAATTGTATAGAATACAGCTATATAAAAATAACCATGAATGAAATATAAATAAATATAGAGTCTACAATTTTTACTTTCACTACCCCTTTGTCTGAAAATACTGGTTTATGCTAAGAAAGTCGTATTTGATCGTATTATTCGTAAGTGAAAGTCGTGTGATACGCGCACTAGATTTTTTCATTATTATTACTTTTTTTGTCTATAAAAATGTATTTGCGCCTGTCAACTTATTGTTGACAATCAGCAAATGTGAAGACGATACAGGAAATAATGACATGACAGGCATGGGGAAGGAAAGTACTCAGCAGTACCTCTTCCCTAACTTGTTCCAATTACTTAGGTTGATTAAGGAAGGAGATCTCTCATCCAACTCCTTTTTAGTCTCCATCTCATTTTCTGAGGTATGTCAGCTGTAGACATGTCTCTTGTTAGTCTGTTATTATGTCCGCTTAAATTATTGTAAAATCTTTGATAAAAGGTGGTTATATATTGGTCAACTGTTGGAAAGTGAAGGTCAGTATGCAGTCTTTGTTAGTCACATACCAAGGTGCTTTTGTTAGGAGTCCCAATAATTGTGATTGGAACGATTGAAGTTTTTGTAGGTGGGTCTTTTTAGCGTTTTTTATATATTTGTGATGAGTACGTCCATATTGGTTTGAGTAAGTATGTATATGTATATGTATTTAGTTTGTGATTTAGTTTTAATTTTGAACATTTAGAAAGAATAGAGTAAAGTAGTTGTTAAGTGTCTTACGTTTCATTTTAACATGAGGGTCCCATGTCATCCTTTTTGTCGAAGGTGAGTTCAAGGATTTTTAAATAATCACTGTTAAATATTTTAATTGTATTGAGTTTGAACATATTTAAAATGAGATTATAAATTAATATACTGAAGAGTTCCAGGTCTTTTTTATATTTTTCTACAGGGCGTATAAATTTCACTGTGTATATTATTAATGGAATCATTGTTTACTCATTATTATCATAATAATTTATATTTCAGCATCCCTTCGTCGTAAACCAACGACTGCCTGTCCTACAGTTTCCTTTAACAATACTCCACTTATCCCTGTTGAGCAAATCCGTATCGTAGGACTCCACCTGGACAAGCGACTAACTTGGAATCCCCATACTAGACTGAAACGACAAGAAACAGCTCGACGTTTCCGATTACTTCAACACTTACTAGACAAACGCTCTAAAACTTCCAATTAATTACAGAAGACCCATATACTTGACCTATTTGGACTTACGGAGTTGAGCTATGGGGCTCCACTAAACCATCGAATTCCTCTCGCATCCAATCCTTACAATCCAAAATCCTTCGTAAAATCCTCAATACTCTTTACTTTGTCACTAATAAAATTATCCATAAAGATCTTAATGTTCCTTATGTTTCAGATCTGGCCCAATCCAGATACCTATCCTTCCATAATAAACTTCAGAATCATCCCAACCCTCTCGTTTCTAACCTTGCTTCTTCTTCAATTCCTGATAACCCTCCGAGGCGTCTGAAAAGAAGATGGCCCCGTGATCTCCTAATGTAGTCATATCATTAGAGTGCTACCATTGGGTAGTTACTCAGCAAGTGTATTTATGTCATTATATCTATTATGACCAAATTTACTAAATTTATTTATGTAATACAGTTGTAAATGTCATTAAGAAATAAAAAATATATATATATTTCAGCATATTCATTGGCTACATTGTTATGCGAAGCGGGACTGGCTTGTTCACATCACCTCAATTCATCGTAACTCCTTGACGAAATTAGATATTATGTTAGCGGTGGAAAATGATTCAGCCGTCCGGATATGAAATAGTTTTATAAATGCTGAAGATGCAGCAGCCAATTGAAGCCATGGCTGCCCGCTCATTGATATTCGAACACATCTTACGTCCAAGGGTGCCTCATCCGTCGTAACTATATATTGCTATGAGCCACTGGGTCGAGCATCAGTTCGTCAGCAACCAGCCGTCGCATCATGAAGGTAACGCATCTTACTTAGAGACTTCTCAAAACATATAAATAAATTATTATGACAGATAAATTAGGTCCTATAGCGTAACTTGTATTTTGGAAGGAGCATTGAATAGTGTGAAACATAACTCTTGTTTGAAATATTTTTTTTCTTTTTAACCTAGAATAGTTTTCGGAATCCTTAAGAAAACTTTAAAATGTGTTGGCCCCTTTTCATTCAAGTTCGTATCAGTCCGAGAACCAAAGCAAAAAAATCGAAATTATCTGAATTTTATAAGCGTCCTAAACTGTGACAGATTGTAATATTTCTCAATAAAACGTTTTATATATATATATATATAAATTATATATATATATATATATAACTGTTAGTGCTCAGTAAACGCGGAATCAGATGCCCTAAAACTTTTTTTCTAAGAGTTTTAGGAAAGTATCGCAATCGGGTCAAATTTCTGATGTGCGGTTTTCGACGGATCTACACATTTCAGAGCCCCCTGTTTTTTTTCAAAGATAATGAAATTCCCTACAAAACTATATAAAAATCGTTCATTTCGGACAACTATTAACGAAGTTATAGCTATTCAATTTCCAATGTAAGATTACGGGTTCATATCCTGGTGTCAGGAAGGAGTGAATGAGAGAAAAAAGATGACAAAGTGAAAGTAAGGAAATTTGTTGCCAGCATCACACAAGCTTCACTATTTCTACTACTTTTAACAGAAATTATTGTTTGACAAAATTAGGCTATGGCAAATAGTTTTAGATCAGCAATATTAGAGCGTATTGAAATGTTTACACTAATCTTCCTTAAGCCGGTTAAAATTGCTTTAGTTTATCAAATAAATCGTACTCAAATCTAATCTTTGATCAACTTTCAGGCAAATAAATCTAATTGAATTTTTTTTTGTTTCTTGATGGACATATGTAAAGTTATAAATACTTTTCTGATATAAATAGGAAGGTCGTGTGAGTGAACACACTGGATTTTTTCTGTTAGAGAACTCATTTCTAAACTGAATGACCATTAATAGGAATTTGTCTCGATTTTTAAAGTATTTGGTAAAAATCAGCATTGGTTGACCGTAGTTATAGACTATACCAATTAACTAAATTATTAAGTTCAGGTACTCGTTCGACGCGCAATTTAACTTTCTTGGGGATTAAGTTTTTCGCTTCGGTGTACCATTTAGAAGTTATGAATGAAAAACAAAACAAAAAAAGACCGAAAAAATTCTGTTTTTTTTCTGTAAAATGTATTCCCTTGGTGCCATGGGTTAACATTTTTTTCTACATATCGAAACCCATACAACTTAAAAAAATAAAAACTTTTCTCCAAATTTTTCACAACGAATTTCCTGTTTCGGTCCTCCAGTTACTGACCTAGTATTACTTAAATCAGCCACCAATTTCGCAAGTATCATAAATTGGCACGTTCTCAGTTTTTTTATTATAGATATTGAAATAAATGATTTCGAAATTTTATTCAGATGTTATGTCGATTTTTTCGCACGAGCTCTTGGACTATACTTGTTTCAAAAATTTCGGTTCCGTAAACTCAGGAAATATCGACACGGGACCGAGTGATGGACAGGTTGGACTTTAAATGTAAATAATAACCTTCCTTGTTGATACAGAGAAATCTAAACTGCTTATCAGTGTTGTTTCTATATTGCTCTTGAGATCAGTATGTTTCATACTTTTCTACAAACAGTTTTGCTAAGAGTAACGTGAACATTATATTTGTAGTTAATTACTATGTCCATTACTGGTACCGATCCCCTTCCTATCCATTATTAGAATAATTGAAGTTCAAGGTATCCATTACTAGTGCAAAAAGGCGTTTTTTTTTTAAATAGAGATTTTACCTGTATAACTGATATTTTTTCAATTTTAAAGTATTAAATAAAAAATAAGACCCTATAGATTCTAAATGTCCAACGGTGAGGTTTATAGCTATAATAAGCCAAAAAAGACAAAACTTTCCTTATCTATGTCCATCACTAATGCGCTTACCCTAATTATTCAAGGATAATTTTAAATAAAATACAACTTTTAATATGTGATTTCTTAGTAAAGCTACCTGGAATTAATTTCCATTCAGTAATCCCTATCGCATCGATTTTCCAATATGACTTCCCTGTAATTAGAGCTTCTGGGAATACGGATTGCAACTTGCACTTCGTACAATACCAGGAATTTGGTTATTATAATTCCAATCGATATGTTGTGGCTTTTAAAAAAATCGTATTTGATCAGTTAGCCTCTAACAGCTCAGAGTCTAATGATTGCCAATGTAAAATAAATTAATATATGCTATTCGTGATTATAGGATGCTTTAATATTTTAAACTATGATTTCATTAAGTTTTTTAAGTTAGGGCCTATAAATGGAAAAATCCAAACTGTAAAACTATGGATACGACTACTTAGTATACAAGTAAACCTGTCGACTTTTCGCCAATTCAGGCATTATCAGTACAGAAAAAAACAAGATCACATACATGCAGAAAGAAATATAAAGAGAAAGTGAAACAGAGAGAAAAAAACATTTAAAAGTGACATCTCAACAAGACATACAAATACATACTGAAGGAAACATAATGTTCATAACCACAGCAAACGAAGATAATATTGAACAGCTGATTTGCAAAAATAAAAGGCATATCTAAAATCTGATAATACAAAAATGTGATAAATAAATAAAAATGAAGAAGAAGAAATTAATAGATTGAAAATAAAAAAGCTGGAAAGTGCACATAATATCCATAGCGAACATAAGACCCATAACCTACCTCTGCACTGATTATGGAAACTTAAGTTTTCCTAGGGATGGGCGATAGTCGATAGTTTTTCACTAAATCGATAAAAATTATAGGATTTATTTTCGCTGTATTCTTTAGTTATTTACTTTTAAATGCTGCATAAGGCTTATAATAATTATCATTTATATTGGATATATTTTTAAAGATTAATTTTAAGGCACTGATACAAATTATTAAATAAATAATTCAAAAAAAAATATTGACGAGAAAAAAGATTTACATAGAAAAATAAATTGCACTTATTTACCTGATTGTTGAATTCAAACAAGGAACATCGACGACATGTAGGTAGTATTGTTTTAACTATTTGGTTTGTCTTTTAATTTCCAATATTCTAATTTTCTAAATTCAATTTGATAATACTACCGAGTTTAAATATAATAAAACTGTAATAGCATCATTATATATTTTATAATTATATTTTTTTTTTCATCGGCACAACTGGAGTTATAAAAATATTTCTAAGGAAGTAATTTGAGATTTAATTATTATTTACCGTGAAGACTTTTTCTTGTTTATTTAATTTCAGTTTAATATGTTGATAAGAATAATTTTAATCAGGCCATCACGCTTTTATCCTTTTGTTTTCTTAATGTGGCGCTTTTTGCTTTTTGTTTTCCATAATCAAATATTTAACTTTTACGTTGTTATATTATCACTATATCTCGAACATCAATTAATGGGTAAAAGAATGAAGGCGTGTTATTAAAAGTATTTCTTTAAGTATATAAAATTTTACAATAATTTGTGCCTTAAGTGGAGGATAAGAACTATCAATATATCGATATATATTGATATATCGATGGGTTGTTTTAAATTATCGATAGATCGATAGCACTAACGACTATCGCCCATCCCTAAGTTTTCCTTTAGTATGTATTTGGATGTCTTGGTGAGATGTCAATTGCAATATTTTCTATTAGTACATTTTTTTTCTATTATGTATTTCGGGAGGTCAACTGTTTACCTTTATGTTAGGGACTAGTGGCTTTATAGATTGGATTTTTACAATTATAACGTAAAAATACGTTATAATCACTGTATGTCTTTTTTCGAGATAAATGCTTAATTTAGAAAAGTTAATGTTTCTGTGACGTAAAACTTAATGATTCCGTCATTTTCTGTGAGGTCAATTATATTTTGAATGAGCACAATAAAACTATCCAGGAAGCATATCTGTACCTCTGACAGAGCTGAAATTAGGATGTAGAAGGGAAGAATTTAGAGGACAAATTTCGAGCGAAGTTTTATTTTAAGCTAATAAAACTTTAAAAAAAAAATTATGTGGCTTTAGTGCTCTATCTCAGTCTCCACTGGATCTCCATCTCAGTGATGCAGTCTATCCACTCCAGTTTTTTTTTTTTTTAATTTGTGTTGTATCACATTTTATTTCATCTGTTTCACTAAGCTTTATTTTTTCTTATTTTTGTTATAATTTATATTATTTTATAATTGCATATATTGTATGAATGAGTTTCTCACATCTCAATAACTGAATGCCCTTGATTGAGGCAAAATGTACTTTTTCTCAATAAAATTAGACAAAAAAAAAAAATTAAAAATATTTATTTTTTCACTTTTTATAATATAGATTTTAATTCAGCCATCTATAATCATATTCCATTTATCAATGGAAGTGTAGAAACGTCCATTACGAGGGATAAAGGAGAGTTCTGACTCGCCTTTCAACATAAAAGGGTCAATGCTTCAATTGACTTTGAAATTTAAATGAAGTTAAGGATATCAATCAGGTTGGGATTTGCATTAGCTGTTAACAAGGACGACATCCTTCCATTATTATAACTTAGTCTCGATAGTTATCAGTGAGAGGACTTAGTCCACTGAACAATATTAGGTAATGAATTCAAAGTATACTTTTCCTGCAGTTCATTCTAATTAAAAAGTTATCCAAGCCATTTATACAGTATTGAAGTTATTAAAAAAACTTTTAAAAAACAATAAATAAATTGGATTTCGTGAAAACAGTTGAGATAATTTAAAAAAATGTGATATTTTTTTTTTTTATTGAATATTAATACATTCTGCCACATCAGAAGGCATTAATATTAACGCTACATGGTTCATTCACACAATATGTACATACAATAAATATGATTATGATTATTAAGTAAAGTAAAGCATGTCATTCATAATGAAGATGATCTGAAATAAATTAATTTATTTTTATTTTCAAAATTTATTTAATTATATTTCATGTTCTTTAACTTATTAAAATTTCCCCCGAACTGTAAACTTTTTAAGTTAAGTGCACATAAAATTTTGTTTTCCATACAAGTTATTTCATTGTTTTTATCATGGCTGTATTATGAAATTGTAAAGGCTTTATGTAAAAGATATGAAGTAAATTTTGCCGAAAATACACACAAAAAAATTAAAATTACAATCGTGGCTGAGGTATACAAACCAATAGCTATGCGTATAGATGCGTTGAAAGTATGACTTAAAAAAACATACCAATTGAAGTTTCTTTAGAGATTAAATTTCATCCCTTAAATGTGAATTTTGAATGTTACAATTGTATACAATTTTTAATTAATTTGGTACGTATGGCACTTAACAAACGACTTAAACTACTTTACTATCTTTTTGCCAAATCTTCAAAACTAAAACTAAAACAGAAAATGAATACATATACATACTTACTTAAGCCCACATGGACCAACTTATCACAAATATACGGCATCGCTAAAAAGACCTACCTACAAAAACTTCAAACGTTCCAATCAAAATTATTGCGATTCATAACAAAAGCACCTTGGTACGTGACTAACAAAACTCTACATACTCACCTCCACTTTCCAACAGTTGACCAACATATAACGACCCCTTATCAACGATTTTACACAAATTTAAATGGACTAATAATAACAGACTTATAAGAGACATGGCCACAGCTGACATACCTCAGAACATGAGGAGACTAAAAAGGCGTTGGATGAGGGATCTCCTTCCTTAGACAACCTAAGTAATTGGAACAAGTTAGGGAAGAGGTACTGCTGAGTACTTTCCTTCCCCATGCCCATGCCTGTCATGTCATTATTTCATGTTTCCCCATCACATTTCCTGATTTCCAACATTAAGTTGACAGGGGCAAATACATATTTTATAGAAACAAAAAATACAAAATTTGGTACAAATTAATTCAGGATTAAATTATTTTATAGTCAGAAATGCGTTAAAAGATAGCGAATTTTTACGTACGTAGGTTAAGAGTTGTCTTAGGCGATCAACAAATTAGTTATTACGCCCTTGAGCTATGATTTTATTTTTTAACTTATCTTTCTGAATGTTCAAAAAACATTTTTTTTTTTATATATTGCATTAATTATTATATTTTATGGTACAATTGTGTATGTTTTAAAAATATTATAACATTTTCTATTGAATGTACTGAGTATTTTAATGCTAGTTCTCTACAACGGTGTATTTTGCTTTTTACAAAGGCTTGATGTAGTAATATACCATCTTCTATTACATGCTTTATGGTTAGCGGGGACTGAAAGGTATCGCAATATGGTTGGTCCTTTTTTGTTATTAAATGGACTTGATTGAGGTTAATAGGTTAATGAGTCTGAAAGTTTTTTATTATTTTATGCTTTTATCAAAGCCGTCCTCACAACGAATTATTTTGTTGTAGGTTTCATGCTGGGTTACCCCGCTTCCTTTAAAAGTTAGCATTATGCAAGTCAATTATTTAATTTTAATATTTGCCCATATGTGCTCGTTTAAGGTGCAAATTTTTTAATAATATAAAATAAGGCTCTGTTTATTTTTTCACCGTATTTATTTTAATTAACATAGCCATCCTCAAGCCATTTTATTCAACCATGCTTTTTGCATGTAGTCCAAAGTCTAATTGGACTGCATGACTTTGGAATTAGACTTTGGACTACATGCAAAAAGCATGGTTAAATAAAATGGCTTGAGGATGGCTTACCGCCCGAAACGTAACTATGTTAATTAAAATAAATATGGTAAAAAAATAAACTGAGCCTTATTTTAAAATATTTTAATATTTAATTATTTTTTTGTTGGTTGCTCAATAAATCTATTGAAGTTCTCTACTGACCATAAGTCAAAAAATTCAATATTTGAGGTTGAAATATAAAAACAACTCAATGAACTATTTGTTCTGAATGACCAATATATTTCATTCATAATTTTGATATTGAAACATATATTCATTCATTATTCTAAATCATCGTTTTATAAAAAATAATCCTCTGTTCCAGACCCTGATTACCGTATTGGCTGCGGCCTCCTGCTGCCTGGCCGCCGAAGTGCCGTACACTCCGGCCGGACCGAAGGCACAGGGAGCTCTCCTCCTCCTACCGCTCCAGCAGGCAAAGGACAACAGCAGTACATCCACCACACCGAGATCTGTCGCTGTGAGTGAAGTAATTCAATTGACATTATATTATATTATATTTCGAACAATAGAAATAAATTAACTATATATTAATTTACAGAATGGAACTGAAAATTTAGATGACGTGAACGCCAAGATCATGGAGAAATTGAAGCAGCAGCAGGGTTCTGAACAAGGTGTGTACCACGTGTACCTCCAAGATGGCCGCCTACAAAGGGTACAGTACACCACCGCACCCATTGTACCCGAGCAGCAAACCCAACAGGTAAGCATAGTCACTGATCAAGGTATTATTAAATAATGAAGAGAAGGATGGTTGGGGCCATCATTCAGAAATAAGAAGGCAAAAATAAATAATATTTATTTTAACATTTGCCGACGTTTCGACCTGAATTTCAGGTCTTCATCAAGGCTGTTCCAAGAGATTGCTGGAACAGAGTCTTGTTGCTGGAATTGACTCTATTCCAGCAATCTCTTGGAACAGCCCTGATGAAGGCCTCAACTTCAGGTTGAAACGTCGGCAAATGTTAAAATAAATATTATTATTTAGTTATACCTTCTTACTCCTGACTGATCACCCAAATCATACTTCTCTTCATTATTCACGACAGTCAACCATTTGCCCACAAGTATTATTAAATAATTCTTGGAGCTAACATATCTATTTCTCCACAGCAACAAACTGCCTCCAACAATAACAACCAACAACAGACCCCAGAAATCCTCAGCCCGGAGTCAGCAGAAAAGCGAAGAGTGTACTTCGTCCAAGTTCCTCAGGAAAGAATTCAGGCTTTGCAAGCTAATGCTCAACAGGTTCCTCCTCAGCAGAGCAGCCAGAACTTTCAGGTATATATTCTATAAAATATTTTTTTCAAAATCCCAGAACTCCTTTACATTACACTCTTCACCTTCATCCACAGCCCTCAGCTCCAGCCCAGTACAACCAACAGGAGAGCTTCCCCGTCAACGTGAGGTACCTGCCCCTGGAAGACTCCTCAGCCCCCAGCAGCCAGTATAGACAGGACCGCGCAGAAGAGGCAGTCGTCAGGTACCTGCCAGTGCCGCTGACAGAACAGAGCGGCCAGTACGGCCAGCAACAGCAGTACAGTGCTGGAGAGCAGCAGGCGGTGGTACAGTACTCGGAGGTACAGCCAATCCAGGGACCGGTGTACTCCTACAGCCCTCAGGCCATTACCAGGATACTCAGATATGCCCCTGTCTACTAGGAGGAGGAGGAGGAGGAGGAGGAGAAGAGTTTAAAATATTTATTTAATTAATTTATTGACATATCTACGTTATTGTTCAAAAATAAATAAAAATATATTTTTATCTCAGTTATGATTCATCGCTTATAAAACATTCCTTCTTAAGGCTGTCTACTTTATATAACACCTCACAGACAATATCAGACAAATATCCTTTTGTGTATTTAATAGGAAATATCAACACTTAGCGTGTCAGACATGGAGACAAAGGACATTCTCCAAAATAACATTTTGTCAGACAGGCCACGTGTTAACAGGTCTGGTGCCTGAACATCTCCGACACGGACCTGTCGTCCAATAGGATCTTCGGACACTGCCCACTCCATCACTCACAGTATAGTCTTCGCATGTTTAACTAATACAAATGTCATAAATGCCTATATAACATGCAAGGAATTTATTTTGTCCATAATTTAGTAGAGGAGTATTGTGAAAATTAAAAATGAAATCTGATGTGTCCACTCACACGACTTACATACCTATTTCAGAAAAGGTTTGTATCTTTAAATATGCCCTTTAAAAAACCAAAACAATTGAATTACATTTATTTTCTTGAAAATTTATCAAAGAAAAGATTTAAGTTCGATTTCTTTGATAAACTAAAGCAATGTAAATTTGTTTCTGAAAGATCACAGTAAATAATTCATCATACTCTAACATTGTTAATCAAAAACTTTTTGCAATAGCCCAATTTTGTAAGACAATAATTTATCTTAAAAGTAGAAGGAGAAATGAAACTTCTGTCATGTGAGCGCCAGATATTTTTACTTTCACTTACTTTTATCTTTTTATCTTTCTTGTTACTCGTAATCTATTGCTAACTAAAGTAGATGTAATTTATTTAATAGTTGTCCGAAATGAACAATTTTTTTTATAGTTTTGTAGGGAATTGTGTTACCCTTCAAAGTAAAGCGGTAAGTTGCGTGATGCGTGCACGAAAATTTGTAAAAATTGGAACCTAGTGTTTTTTTTTAATGTAATGTATTTTCAACAGCATGTTTGCCAGGTGTGCCGCCATATAAGACTGAAGAGGAGCTAGATAAGGGACATTCTCGGCAAATAATCAATGCAGATGTCGATCGATTTTGGGCAACATTATTTTTGATATGTGTAAATTAAGATCACAATTTTTTTTTTAAATTTTTCAGTATTAAAATTTACAGCTGTATTAAATGATAAATACAAGTAACATGACATGTACAAGATGAAGAGAAACTACCCTTTGGTAGCACTCCAATTATATTTCTATATTAGAAGGTCCCGAGGCTATCTTCTTTTCAGACACCTCGGAGGTTTATCAGGAATAGAAGAGGAAGCAAAGTTGGAAACAAGAGGGTTCGGATGGTTCAGAAGTTTATTATGGAAGGATAAGTATCTGGATTGAGCTAAATCGGAAACATATGGTACATTGAGGTCTTTATGGATTATTTTATTAGTGACAAAGTAAGGAGCATTGAGGATTTTACGAAGGATTTTGGATTGGATTATATTTAAACCTTAGAACTACTTTTGAGGAAATAGTAAAAATGCGTTAAAAAAAAGTCTTTAATTTAGTTTTCTACGACGTTTAGTTTTTGAACAAGAAAAAAGAGTCATTATTTTTTTTTTTTTTATTTAGACATATAATATTCTGTCACAGGTCTAGGTGGAGTAAAAGGTATCGGATTTGCTCAACAGGAATAAGTTGAGTATTGTTAAAGGAAACTGTAGGGCACGAAGTCGTTGGTTTACGACAAAGGGTAAAGGTAATTTGATGGAATTTATTGGAGTTTATTTTAATTCCCCAGTTTTGACACCATTCTTCAAGATTTATGAAGTGTGATTGAAGCATTTGCGATGTATCAAGTATTTAAACTATTACATTGGTTCTACCAATTCATTATAATATACAGTAACTAAAATTGCCAAGTATTTAAACTATTATATTGGTTCTACCAATTCTTTATATATAGTAAATAAAATTCTCAAGTAATTGTAACTATTATATTCACAAATACACTTCTTTTTTCTTTGCAGGGTCCATTCTTGGTCTTGGTCTAGCATTCTGCAAGACCAAGATCGATTTTGGAGAGCACTATTTTTGATAAGTGTAAATTAAGACTATAATTTTAAAGAAAATAAAAATAAGTGAATCTCAATAGGATCAAAGTTTATTGTTAGCAATCCGTTTAAATAAATATCTTCTCATAATAGAGAGAAACAGCTTAGCCAAGGAAGTTTTCCCGGAGAAGGGCTAAATGAAATAGAAAGCACAGGCTACCTACACAACTTGCACTAACCCTCGCGATAAAACTGAAAGTACTTAACCAACTCGAGAACCGGGAAGACAGTTACCCAAGCCTTAAAGCCCTCCTTCCCTAAAGGGCTCCATAATATACAACAATTATAATGCTCCTGGAATAAGGGAAATCCCATCTCCAGGGGGAGTTCCCTTCGGGAACTTTATGCGGGAGCAACACGACATTTTTAAACTTTATTTCACTGAAGAGTGTTGTTTTTGATCTATTTAAATTCACTTTAGCAACCGATATCTGTACAGGGCCAAGCGAGCTAACGCGTGTACAAACCACCTATTTCCCGGACACCTGGTAAACTGAAGATAACATGATGAAATAATTACAAGCTCACGTCCTGGTACCGGGGAGGATTTTTAACTCTGGTATTAATTTAACCCTGGCCCAGAAAAAAAAATACCACCACAAAAAAAAAAAAATGATACTTATATATATGATATACGTAGAATAAGAACAAGTAGCCTTTAATATTTAAAAACAAAATAATTGTATCAAAATATACACTACGAGGTTGTTTTACATCTCCTTTTGTTAGAGGTTTATTGTTTTAAATTATTTATGAAATAAGGTCGCTTATCCTCTACAACAGTGATAAAGTATGTACTCTGCAAAAACAGAATTCTTGTAAGTGTAAATAGAATTGGTGCTATTTCTGCAAGAAGCAGCTATAATTAGAAAATAACAGTTATCCAGGAACCTGATGTTACAGAAAATCAACATAAATAATAAGTAATATTACACTAATATATATTACAATATTACACTAATTTTACCCTATTAATCTTTCAATTTCTTCACTTCTTTACCTTTAGTCCCGTTATCTGTTTATTTAAAATTAAAGGTAACCTCCACTTGCTTGTTATCCACTGATATCTTATCCATCCACTGATATTATGTTATCTTTTCCATATTTTAACTTTACTGTAACAATAGTTATTCAATTTTCAATCTATTTATTCGTTAACATTCATTTATTCGTTAACATTCATGTATTTATTTTCTTTTATCTATTTTCTTATCATGTATTTATTTTCTTTATCTTTTATTTCTGTATCTGACAACTTCTTCGTATTTTATATATACTTATATTTATTTTTTATTTTATTTTTTCAACATGTTTGTATCTTTTGTAGCCCTGAAGACGACCTGCAAAGTGGGTTGAAACGTCGGCAAAAATTAAAATAATTTATATATTTTAATTTTTTTATTTATTTGACCGCACCCTCGACTAACTCCTTCTCATATTATATCAACGGTCAACCATCTCTACATCATTATAAATAATAAGTATTATCGAATTCAAAATATATTCATGGAAAAGCAAATAAAATTAAACAATGATAACATAAAAATGTGTAAGAATGTTTTTTCATATTATTTTATTTTTTTTAAGATTATTTTTACTTAATATTATTATTAGAGTAAGTTGGATTGGTGCAGTCCATCCTGGCTAAAATTAGCAGGAATTGAGAGACGCATTCTACATAAAATGACATGAACACAAACCTCCGTAAACATCCAGAGATTTGTGAGGAGGCGGAGTAATGTATATGAAGAGCACCGCTTGTTGCTGGCTAATCTGATAACCGAAAATATAGATGATAAAATAATTGAGTTCGCGATCCGGTGCCGTGGAGGCTTTTAGCTCTTTAGTGGAGGCATTAATCCTCTGCCCTCATACCCTAGTTCGGGCAAACCTCGTATAACCTAAAAGGCGAGAACGAGAAAAATCTAGATATATAAAATTTAAAAAATTTTACGATTCATTTTACGAAGGATTTTGGATTGTAAGGATTGGACACGAGAGGAATTCGATGGTTTAGTGAAATCCCATAGCTCAACTCCGTAAGTCGAAATAGGTCTTATTAATGTCATATATATGAGTAGTTTGTAATTGATTGAAAGCTTAGATCGTTTGGTTAGTAAGTGCTGCAGTAGTCGAAAACGTCGAGTTTTTAGTGGTTTCAGTCTGGTAGGGGGGTAGAACTGTAAATAAAGATATACATTTTCACACGAGAAAAATTAATAATAAAAAAATGTTGAAATCGGAGTTAGTCATTCTGCCAAGTGAAAGGCTCAGATATGTATACAGCCGGATTCATCAAAAATGTTTTAAGAGTATAAATAATTAATATTTGCTGAGATTAGTGTTGTAAATGTTCAATCTGCATTAGCCCTCCTCAAACACCTCTTCCCCTGAGAGTGGCCCCTCCTCTCTCTTTCAATTACTTGGTATTTCAATATTTGGTTTAATATATCTGAGTGCTGTCATAATGAGAACCACTTCTCATCATCTTTCTCTTCATATTATTGAATGTTATTGATGTTGTTGCGTTCTTTTAAGCGCGACTGTGATATTCCACTACGTAATAATATATAAAATATAAAATATATATTATTTGATACAACATTAAAGAGAAAGAATTATAACAGTCCTATTAAGAATCTTCGGAACAGGCTTAGGTCGTTCGTCCACCGACAACGGAACTCTCTATGTGACCTCCAAATACCTGAAATGGTTCAGATTCAAGATCGGGTAAGCACGGTTCTAGGAAGCTCATTAGTTCCCTTCCTTTCTCTCCTCTTCTTTACATCAACAACCGTCCCTCTTTCCGACAGTCAAAAAACTCGGAATATTATTTGATCAGAACCTCTTTTGAAATAACCACATTTTCCAAATTACCCGTAAATTCATAACAATTCTTGAACAATTCCTATGATTCCGTGATTCTATTCCAGAAAAAAACCAGACAGCTCCTTGTAACATCCATTATTTTCCCTCGATTCGACTACGGTTGCTTGGTGTACGGAAGACTGTCCACAAGACTGGAGGAGAGACTGAAGATACTTATGAATTGGTTCATAAGATTTATCTTTGGGATTTCAAGGCATTCCCATGTTTCCAGCTTGTACACAGAGTTGAAGTGGTTTTATCCTACTTCCCGGCGGCAGTTTCTTCTTGGTATTTTCCTTTTTCAAGTCCTCTGAAATAAAAACTGTCTCTACATCCTAGAACTCCTTACTCTATGTTCTTCTATCCAGTCTCTTAATACCTTACCTCAACCTGTAGAATTATATACTTCTTCTGTTAAAAGCACTTTCTTCAGCAAATATTTCGTCATTCGTGCTACCTTCTTTTGGAACTGCTTACCTATCTCCATACGTCAAACACATAAACCACAAAAATTCCTTCTAACAAATCCTATTTCATCACCTATTATACATTCAATCTTCCGCAAGTTTATAAGAAATTTTAGGCTATGTAACTATAGTTGTTCTCTAGAAGTTAATTCTTAAGGGCTATTTTATTTTTATTTAATTATTTTTCTGTCTCTATTTTTTTGTATATATTTGTATTTTCCTTACTGTTTTTTTTTTTTTTTTTTTTTTTTTTTTTGTATAGATCAGTATCATATCTAAACTTCGCGAAAAGCTTCATCTCATCGAAACCTACAACTATTTTATTTACGAAAACTCTTTGAATTGTGACGTTTTCAATCTGAAGACGGCAAACTTTGTCTATTTAATTATGAATTAAGAACTCGTGATTACTCATTTGATTTCCAATTGAATTGAAAGATAATTTGAGCAGAAAAACGAGTAAAAAGGTGGCCTGATTGGTGTGATTATATAGACCAATGATTATAGGTTATAGAGGCTAAACAGCCCAATATTTTTGTAGGCCACCTAATTACTCGATTTTTGTGATTATCTTACGGTCCAAGTAGAAAGGAAATCGGTATTTACTAGTTATTAGTAGCTAATTAAATAGACAAAATTTGCCGATCTCGAGATTGATAACACCTCAATTCCAAGAGTCATTTCGTAAATAAAATAGTAGATTACGATGAAATAAAGCTATTCACGAAGTTTCAGGCGGATGTTTATAATTTGGTAAAAAGGTGTCTGTACCACGGATTACTAGATTTTATGATTGAAAAGCATCTCTTCCATGGGTAATTTGTTTTTTTTTATTGCTTTAGTCTGACGTTTCGGGCTACCGGCCCATCATCAAAGACCATTTATTTTACGTATTGTGGTTGTTCTAACATTTCACTGAAAATGTTGCTGAATCCTTCTTCATTCCTCGCATAAGTCCTTCTATCTCCATATTCAATAGTTTCTAATCAAGTTGAAAAAAATTTCTCTGTACATTTTAAACGGTCACAGTTCTCTACCTTCGTCTACAAATTGATAAGAAGTTTGATTTTCAATCGCTGAGATATCACAGAACTTATAGACCGTTTTACTTGAAGTTGCAAAAAAGTAACTTTACCTTGCAATTTTTCTTTAAATATGTATCTTTATAATGAAGAGAAGAATAGTTTGGGTGGTCAGTCAAAAAGGAAGGCAAAAAAAAAATGTTAATATTTATTTTTTACATATGCCGACGTTTCGACCTGAATTTCAGGCCTTCATCAGGGCTAAGAAAATAACCAGATAACAAGGTATGAGAAACATAAGTAATGATGGTAAAAAAGATAATAAAAAAATTAGAAAAAATAAAATAGATAAATATAAAGTAAAATGAAATTGTTAGAATAATGACTAAGAGCTAAGAGATAAATAATTAAAACCGTTACAAAGTTCTCTTCTCTCTCCCCCTCCCTTGTAACGAATTTTATTCTCCCTGCGACGCTTAAGGAGACAGGTAGTACTTCTTTTATTTCTTTCTTATTTCAGCTTTCTCAATTTCTTCCCTCCTTCCTTTCATTCCTTTTCTCTGTTTTTAACTCTGTATTATATTATACATTGTCTGTACATCTTGATAGACTTTGCAATATCTCAATTTTCTATCTAACTACTCCATTCTCAATGTTTTAATTTTACTATTTATTTTCATTACTTATATAACTTCATATTTCTTTTTGTTTCTTCATGTTTTACATTTTATTCTAAGATTCGCATTTTAACACTTTTTTCATCCTTTTTGATTATGCCTACTTCATCATTCCACACTTTGTAACGGTTTTTATTATTTATCTCTTAGCTCTTAGTCATTATTCTAACAATTTCATTTTACTTTATATTTATCTATTTTATTTTTTCTATTTTATTATCTTTTTTACCATCATTACTTATGTTTCTCATACCTTGTTATCTGGTTATTTTCTTAGCCCTGATGAAGGCCTGAACTTCAGGTCGAAACGTCGGCATATGTAAAAAATAAATATTAACATTTATTTTTTGCCTTCCTTTTTGACTGAGCACCCCAACTATTCTTCTCTTCATTATCCACGACAGTCAACCAATTACCAACTATGTATCTTTATAGTATAGTAGTATTTCGCAGTATAGATCCATTTTTCGAATCTAACATGCGATGGATTTTGATGAAGGAGTTATCAAATGAAAGGTGATTTCATTGTGAAGTGACTTATTATAGTCGCATCTTTCCGACATTACAAGGAAAAAAGTTAATAGGAAAATATACTTTATTTGAGAATAACTCAAAAAGTTTTAAACAAAGACAGATTAAACTTTCATTTTAATTCATTACTACGTTGTTTTAGTTTATCAACGAAAATAAACATTTTTTGTTGTAGATTTTTATTTAACAAAAAATGTAACCCTTTAAAAATCACTCACATTTCCTCAAGGGCATCGGACTATAGTATATAGTAGGTACTTTTATCTAGCAATTTATATATATATATATATATATATATATATATATATATATATATATATATATATATATATATATATATATATATATATGTTTACTAAAGCCGGATTTGAAGATATAAATTTTAAGGATAGATCGTAAAAACCATGGTTAGGTCTAAATAAGATCTTAAATAAATTATTAAAAGTAATAAATATTATGCAATAGTATTTGCATACTACTAGTATATAAACATAAAAAATTTAAATGAGCATGGCAAAATTGAGAAGAAACATTGAAAATAATGTTAATAAGAAATCCTGAACTGAGTGCTAATTCCATTAATAGATTCAATCTAACAGCGATGAATAGCAAAATAGGTTAACACAAAGTTAAAGGTTAACATTCCTGGAAGGTTACTAAACCCATCAAATATATAAATATATCTAAAGAAGTACCTACTAATTGCATTGTTTAATTTCAACTGGTGAATTCGGTGCATTGATGACGCCGTTTATCCTAGTTTTTAGGTGATTTTTCATTAAATTAAGGAATTGAATCAAGTACAACGAGGCGTATAAGAATTAAATCTTGTTGGGAATTAAAGTAGGAAATTAAATAATTAAAAAAATATATTTTAGTGCAAAGCCGCAGGATATGCCAAACAAGATTTCATTGATTTTCATATTTTAAATCTACTCTATTCAAGACTGGCAAAGACCTGTTAAGAACTCTATCTTTCCTAAAAAAAAAAAAATAATAATATATCCTTCAAACCTGGCCCGAAATATCGCCTCTTTAAATACGATATTTCGTGTTATTTTTTTTAATTATTTTATTTTATATTATATTTGCAAGTGCGTTTTTCGACGCATCTAGCAAATGTGCTGTCGTTCATTTTGTCCGATATTTCTTGAAAATTTGTTCATAATGTGAGCAGTCTTCTTTGAGGCTCCTCTGGTAATAGTGAGGAAGAAAGAGGGAGGACGAGAGGATCAGGGTGATTAATAGTTAAAATGTCTAGTGTGGTGTATTTTTTATTTATATAGGTTTTTACTGTTGGAATGTTCATATCGCTGTGCATAACAAACCAGTGTGCATTTACGATTTTTCGAAGTATTTTGGACTGCGCAGTTTGTAATTAGTTCACGTGGACGTGTTTTGCGGAACCATAAAGTTCTGCTTCGTATGGACAAATAGGTCTTAGTATGGTGGTGTAGATCAGTCGCTTATTTTGTAAGTTGAGTGTGACAGAGATGTGTAAGTTATTTATACCGGTCAGATCTTGATTTTTTAATTTGGTGTGTATGTTCTCGGTAAGTTTTCTGTCTATGTATAGTCCGAGATATGATATATGAGTTTTTGAGGGAACTAGCTTGCTGTATATTGACACTGAAGGACACGAAATCTTTCTCAGGGAGAAGCTAACATGACTTGACTTGCCGCCATTAACTTTGATTCCCCATTTGTTGAAACATTTTTCTAGGCCGTGGAGATGATTTTGGAGGGCAACTGAAGCAATTATAGGATTTTTGCAGGATGAAATAATTGTAGTGTCGTCAGCGAAACTATAGAGAATCGTGCTAGTGCGTAATGAGAATGAGGATACAAATGTGTAGAGAGAATAAGAATTGTTATTAATGCGAAACTCTGTTCAAGAATCAAATATATTATTCTCATAACTTTTTTTCAGTAGGGAGCGGGGTGGCCGAATGGGCTAACGTGTGTGCCCACAAGTTGCCCGGCAACCAGATGACCTGAATATGAGATTAAAAAAAAGTACGATTTTGCGTCCTGGTGCCAGAGGGGATTTTAAATTCTCCGCCCTCACCCTCCGGCCAGGAAAAATTCCGTATAGCCTAAAAGGTGAGGTAGGGAAGAACAGAAAAAAAAATTACTTCCAGTAATAAACCAACAATTATATATATATATATATATATATATATATATATATATATATATATATATATATATAATTTTACTTGATGCTATATCGGTAACGCAGCGACCTCACCTGTATGGCACAGAGCACATACCTGATTGAGGCTATAGTGAACTTGAACCCATGGCTACCCTCTGCTTGATATTCACTAACTGGTTGGTTCCAAGGGTGCATCTTCAGGAGTACTATATAATGCTCCGTCGGTACTGGACTTAGTATCAGTTGAAGCTACGAACAACTATCATATCATGAAGGTAAGGTGGTCATTTTATTTATTTAAAACCTAACCCGTAAATCCGCCAATATAAGTATTATATCTGTTGATAATTAAAACAATTTTTGAAGTGGAAACTTATTTAGGAGCGTTTTGTGTTTTTTTTATGGAAAGTGAATTATATAGTACCGTCAGATTTCCTATGTGTAACGCTAGGGTAAAATCGGCTAGAGTCGACTAATTGAAGTGTGTGGATTCCAATGCAATGGATGGGTACCAAAGTGAATTCACATATTTCAAAAAGTAAAAATTGGACCTACATATTGCAAGAGAATTGTTGAGCATTTCCTCCTCTCTGTAATGGGCTATTATTCCAAAGTTGCATCTTAACGCGACGCCGTGTTAGAGAGCGAAAATGAAAAAAAAAAGTGTTGAAAAACAAATTATAACAAGTTTTATTGAATATATGGATTAAAATATACTAGCAATTAAAAATCGGACCTGCATACTGTAAGCTATTGTTTATAATTTATATTTGATATTATTAAACTCGCCATGTTGATGTTTTCACTTATATCATGTGGTATAAAGCACACGTCTTAGTTGTTTCTTTTGTAGTAATAATTTTTACAAATGTATATAGAACGGATACAAAACTGAATAGAGCAATAATATAAAATTTCATGCAACTTCCTACTGTGTTTACTGCCAAACTCATTATATATTTTACATATATTCCTAACAAATGCATTAATTTTAATTGTTAAATGAAAATTGTTACCACATCGCTTTTACATTATTCCCCAAATATCAACCAACGTTGGATCAAATCAAATTAGCCATTTTTGAAATAAGGCATAGAGAGAGAAAAATAGAAACAGTTGACTTTCCTCTAACTGTAAATAAAAAAAACATTTCCGATACATAGACATGCGATGTGCGTGCAAATACGGAAGAAAAGATCACTAAAATTTCATTCAAATTTATATTTCACATATACCGGCTGAGCTTTACCGACTTACACAATTCCTCAAAATATTTTTGTCATCTCTTTTGACCAATACATTTTTTTTTTTTTAATTTATTGAGAAATATTACAATCTGTCACATGTAAGGACAATATTAATAGTGATAGAAGAGTAGCTCATTCACACTGTGTACAATAAATAAACCGCAAAATAATAATACTAAAAACAAATGTATATAAACTAAAAGAAACTAAACTAATCGAAATAACTACTTAAATGCACACATGCTTTTATCAAATATTTATCAAATCCAATCCATCAAGATCTTCGAACCAAGCATTTCCCCTACTCGTGGAGATCCTAGCGCCTCTCAGCAGAATTACTGATATTAAGACCATTTAATTAATAATCATATTATGTCAAATAGAATATAAACGATCTCTTTCTCATGGGAAGTTCTGATATTTTCATTTTATTGACCTTTCGGCAGTAACATGATTCTAAATACTGACGGATCCACGAAAGAGGCAGAGCCTCCGGGCTTACTCATAACTTACATTCAATATTGTAATAACAATAAGGAATAATATTGTTTTATATATATATATTTAAATAATTTCCTTTCCAGACCCTCATTACCCTCCTTGCTGCGGCCTCTTGCTGCCTTGCCGCCGAAGTGCCGTACACTCCGGCTGGACCGAAGGCACAAGGAGCTCTCCTCCTCCTACCGCTCCAGCAGGCTAAGGACAACAGCAGTACATCCACCACACCGAGATCTGCAGCTGTGAGTGAAGTAATTCAATTGAGATTGTATTATATCATATCTCCAACAATATAAATAAAATAACTATGTATTAATTTATAGAATGGAACTGAAAATCTGGAAGATGTGAATGCCAATTTATCTGAGAAATTGAGGCAACAGCAGGGTTCTGAACAAGGTGTGTACCACGTGTACCTCCAAGATGGCCGCCTACAGAAGGTACAGTACACCACTGCACCTATCACCTCCGGGCAGCAAACCCAACCGGTAAACAGCGTCACTAGTCAAGGAATCATTAAACAGTTATTTGTATCTAACAATATCAATTCTTTTATAGCAACAAACTGCCTCCAACAATTACAACCAACAACAGACCCCAGAGATCCTCAGCCCACAGTTCGCAGAAAGGCGAGGAGTGTACTTCGTCCAAGTTCCTCAGGAAAGAATTCAGGCTTTGCAGGGTAATGCTCAACAGATTTCTCTTCAACAGAGCAGCCAGAACTTCCAGGTATATATTCTATAAAATATTTTTTTCAAAATCCTAGAAATCCTTTACATTACAGCTTTTGCCTTCATCCACAGCCCTCAGCTCCAGCCCAGTACAACCAACAGGAGAGCTTTCCCGTCAACGTGAGGTACCTGCCCCTGGAAGACTCCTCAGCCCCCAGCAGCCAGTATAGACAGGACCGCGCAGAAGAAGCAATCGTCAGGTACCTGCCAGTGCCGCTGACAGAACAGAGCGGGCAGTACAGTGCAAGTGAGCAGTACGGCCAGCAGTACAGTACTAGCGGCCAGTACGGCCAGCAGTACAGTACTGGAGAGCAGCAGGCGGTGGTACAGTACTCGGAGGTACAACCCATCCAGGGACCGGTGTACTCCTACAGTCCACAGGAGATTACCAGGATACTCAGATATGCCCCTGTTCACTAGGACGAGAAAACATTTTTAAAATATTTATTTAATTTATTATAGGCATACTTCTGCTATTGTTCAAAAATAAAAATACATGTTTATCTTAAAATTGGTTGCCTGTAAAACCTCCATGATTATGGTAGTATAATATTACGTGAGACGGAACAAAGATGAACCTTCTATTTTCTTTTACTCCGTGTCTCGCCATTTCTGGCATATGGGATGAGAGGAGATAACGCAATTTCAGTTGTACTAATGTACATCTGATGTACCACCAAAGTGGTAGTGTCATAATTTATTCCGAGGATCTGACTTGAAATAAATTTCGTCCCGCACAGGCCGGATTCGAACAGGCTCCACGGTTACACAAAGTGAAAGCGACAATCTCCACGTAATATTACTGTTCTCAGGCTGTTACTTAGGCACACAGATAAGCTAAATAAAAACACAATGCAATTTTAATAATTTTATTTGTCAACATACTCCAATAATTTTTAATCAGAAAATCATATTTTATTGTCAGCCACGAAGGGTCAGTTTAACTTCAATCTATTTTTATTAGCTACATAATTACCTATTTTTCTGAGTTTTTGATATATATCCCAAGGAAAAAAAATACGAATAATGTAATATGATAAAATTAATATTCGACTAGTTGAACACAAGTCTCCGAATTTCCACCAACTTTCGGCAAAATCGGACATCCTCTTTTTGAGGCAATGAGTTATAAAAATATGTATGAGCGTGCTTCAAATTTATATATCTACTATCTAAATATTAACTCACGATCTCTAATAACTTCATCGAAATCGGGTTAAAGGTAGTAAGTGATATGCTTATGACGTTTATTTGACAACAGACTGATATGGAACCAAAAATGTGTTTCTGTGTTTCTAAACTTTTCGACACTGAGAACACATTTTTTGTATCTTCTGCACGATCAAAAAGCGTCAGTAGTGAGGAAACAAAATGATAATAGTTAAACAAGACAAAAAATATATCTTATATATATGTGTGTTTTTTGTTTTATTAATTTCCTAATTTTTTTAAAGTCATACTATTTTATTTATTGTACATACGTTTTAATTATAGTTTAGTTGTTATTTTGCTTATGTTTATTTTATATGTTTTCTTATATATTTTGTGAATGTGAACTTATTTAACTATATAACCAATGCCCGTGTGATAGAATGTTTTAATATCAAATAAATAAATAAAATAAACAAATCGACAGCCACTATGCAAAAGCCTGTAAGGACAATTTATTTGGAAAATGAGGTTTTTAGCTTTACTAGTCAATATTGTTCCATATTCTGATCCCACAAAATGATATCTACAATGGTTCGTTTCTTCTTTATGGTCTTTTGTAAAAAAAACTGTAATTTAACTATATACAATAATATATATATATATATATATATATATATATATATATATATATATATATATATATATATATATATATATATATATATATATATATATACATATATAATATAAAATATGTATTACTTTTTAATTATTTTCTCATTTTTAATTTCTGATTTTTATTTACCTTTGATATGCATTTATTTGTTTTCTGAAATACGAGAATGGGACGGCCAAATCAATCAAATGTGATGAGATTCCACATTATATTTTAAAAATAGAATTTGATTTTTAATTTTAAAATAAAAAGTTCTGTACAGTTCGTATAATTCAAGATATGTTTTAAATATTCAATTAACTTTGCTCAGAGTAACACATATTTAATAACTTAAGAATCGTCATTATCGGAAAGAAAACCTTTATCCAATATTTTTATTATAATAAACTCTATGCGTGGAGCTCCGTACAAATCAGACAAAACATAACCTAAAATGAAGACCTCGAAATCTAAACGAAACCTAATATTGAATTACACAGGAGAGAAATTTGAGCTCTCGATTTTATTGGACGACAGCAGACGCGAAGAACGGTTTCTAACATTTCTTTTATTGCGTCTCGAATTTCATTTCCTTTTTTTACTTTTAGGAATTAAGGAGCTAAGAATTGAAAACTTCTCAAACCATTCAGATAATTAAATTACACCACCACATTCATCCCTTTTTTATAGCCAACCATATAATGTATTTATTACAATGCTATGGATTAACAATTGCGGACCCTGGTTATCAGTCAAACCATAAAAAACACTAAAATAATATTTTAAAGAAAACGTGATGGCCAAGTAATATTAAGGGTTAGATTCCCACGCGCTAGAGGGAGTAGTACAGTGATCTCCTGGAGTCATAATTCTTCTTCCACTGGTATGGCTGGTTTGGAGTTCCATCTCTTCATTGTCAATAATGTATATTTCTTATAATATTTTATTTTGTTCTTATTTCTATGTATTCTTTTGTTATTACTTCATTTATTTATGTTTCTGTATGCACGGTGTGAATGTACTCTCTTAACTCTATTATAAGAGTCCATCACTGAGACAGATAGTACTATTTCTAAATTAGCTATTGAACATAACAGGCCCAAAACCTCTCTCGCAAAAGATGTAAGAAACGTTTGGTGGCTACTAAGGAAGAAGGGCAAAGAAGTAGTGTTCATTTGGGTCCCTTCGCATTGCGGGATCATCGGTAATGAACAAGCCGATCAAGGAGCCAACCTGGCAAGAAAGCCAGATACAACATCCGTTGAATCAATTAATGAAATCCCCCCAGAGGATTACGTTATAAAAAATAAGGAGAATGTGTGGAACATGTGGCAAAACAAGTGGGAACAAGGAGAATCGAAATTAAAAGAAATGAAACCCCACTGTTTAAAATGGGAAACCTCGCACCGACCATCTCGAAAAGAGGAGACAGCCCTTTGCAGAATGCGAATTGGATATTGTTAGTTCTCGCACTCTTACCTACTAAGAGGACTTGATCCTCCGAGTTGCGAGAACTGCAATGTCCAAAGGATAGGTAAAGCACATTATTCAAGAATGCCCTACATTTGATCCTACAAGGAAAAAGTTAGACATGGCACAGAGTCTAAAAGAAAATCTACAAGACCATGAAAGTGGAGTTAAAAAAACTTTAAGGTTCTTAAAAGTGATAAAATTCTACAACAGAGTGTAATTCAAAGGTGTTGCCAATGACCCTACAGGGTAGAGGAAACACAAAAAATCAAATAAATAAATAATATTTCTAAATAAAAAAAATAATAATTTATATAAGTATGTCTGTGTTTTTTCTTTTTAATTTGTTTATATTTAAGTTATTTTATTATTATTTATTGTATATACTATACTTTTTTGATTATTAATTAGATGTAATATAAACAATAAAATAAAACAATAGGCGAGATATTCGAATATTTTTTTTTACATGTATTACTATATTAACTAATTTTTCTTACAATATGACAGTAGAATATGCCCTATCGAAATAATACTGTATATCGACAGTTTATACTGACCTAGCTCTAGTAGACTATAACTAAGACAGGGGTCAAGACACTTCCAAATTTAGCCGCACAATATTGGACTGACTGCCAATCAATCCCTTTGATTAATGTCTTCATGAGCGTTACTAATAATTACTAAAGGCCAGTTATTAACTAAAGGTCAGTTAACAATGTATAATGTTAATATTATAAAATTAATTTATTGTTTGAATAATTATTACCACTTATATTTAAACGTAAATTTCAAATTCACTAAAAACATTAGATAATTGTTATAAAAGAAAAAAAATTATTGTCTTCAATTTTTGTAGAATCCTTATTTTATTATTTACGCTTATTTATTACTTCCCATTAATTAGAAAGGACTCATATATATGATTATAATAAGACCTATTTGGACTTACGGGATTAAGCTATGGGGCTCCACTTAACCATCAAATTCCTCTCGTATCCAATCTTCACAATCCAAAATTCTTCGTAAAATCCTCAATGCTCCTTACTTTGTCACAAATAAAATAATCCATAAATACCTCAATGTTCCATATGTTTCCGATTTGGCCGAATCCAGATACCCATCCTTCCATAATAAACTTCATAACCATCCGAATCCTCTTGTTTCTAACCTTACTTCCTCTTTGATTCCTGATAACCCTCCGAGGCGTCTGAGAAGAAGATGGCCTCGGGACCTTCTAATATAGAACTTTAATTTGAGTTCTACCAATGGGTAGTTTTTCCACATGCGTATTTCATGTTATTGTACTCCTCTGTACACATTTACTTGATGTATTCATACTAATACAATTGTAAATATCATAATAAAAGTCATAAAAAAAAAAAACGAAAAAAAACGCTTATTTATTAAATAATAGTACATTCCGTCTCAAATAAGGACAATGGCAATGATTTAATGAATAAATTAACATCATATTTACAAAAAATATAAGGCGACTTAAATATAATAAACACACACAAAAATAAAATATGCTTAACAAACATTTATTTAGTGAGAAGTCACTGCGTACCTATACTCTTAGTTCTAGGCTCAAGACCGGCTGTGGCCAAAAAACAATTCTTTTTGCAAAGTACAGAACTTCAAGACCCTCTATGATTTGTAATGGTTTTAATACTAAATTCGCCAAATTTGCCTTCAAAATTAACCATAAAATATGGTACACATACATTTTTTTTTAATTATTACAAAATAATAGTTGTATTTTCTATAGCATTAAAATTAAAAACATAAGCATAGAAAGTGATTTTAACTTTAAAAAAACAATACACAAAATCTATATACTTTTTGAGTTCTTCAGGATCTAATTTTAACATCTCTCGTAACTTTTTTTCCAGCTTCTTTTTTTTTTTAAGTATGTTATATAGATGAATTTAAAGTACATCAAGAAGAAGACTTTAGCGAAGTTTTATTGAAATCGGTACATTCGTTTAAGCGCTACTGTCTATAGCAACGCAGGTTTTTTCGGCCGCCATTTTGAAAGTAAAAGGCGGATAGTAGTGTCGATGAAGGAGGGTTATCCTCGGGTGACCTCTGACCTTAAACCTAAATTTGAAAAAAAAAAATGTGTATTCATTTTTCGAATTTTAAGTATCCTAATACGTAAAATCTCAAATTTTGAGAGGAGGTTAAGTTTTTGTTCGATTACAATGGTCCATTATTGAAAAAAATAAACCAAAACTGAAAATTGTTATAGTTTGTAAGAGGAGAAATAACAAGTATAGTAACGAGGAGGTAAAGAAAGGTCTAGAACGTACAGCGGAGGAAAGAAAGTTGGGAAACTAATCCCTCAAGCCTCGAGTGTCGCAGGAGTAAGAAGTTTGGAGCCCTGTCGGTAAGAACTACCAGTACCGGTACCAGCGGTAGTTCCTAACCTTTTTAGTAAATCTACTTCAGCTTGTTACCAGCAATTGGATCATGTCCCTAGACCTTCCTAGCGGTAATATAAGTTATCCCGTCCTTATCAAACCTCAGGGCTAAAAATTAATTCTGTTTTAGTTTTGAAGGACTAAGTTTAGGATAATAGTATTAAAAAGAATAATTAAGGTAGAATAAACTTCAAAAATAAGATAAAATATATAATTAAGATATTCATGAAACATTCTATGAACAAAATGGGTTGGTTCAATTTAGAAAAATAAAAATTATATTACAAGAGATAACAAATAAAAACAACACACATAATTTCAAGAAGCGTTTGTAGCATTTTTCTCGAATTTAATAATTCCATTGAATTATAATTATATTATAAGTAACTTCATGCTCCTTATTATTTTTAAATAATCAACAATTACGTTGTTTATACATTTACATAAATATTAAAAGAAGGAAGGGTGTACATTTTTATATGATTATGTGTTCTGATAATTTTTTTACTAAGTAAATTTAGAATTTTGCCACTTGAGGTACTTCTAAAAAAAATACTTATACTTAATAATCTATCCTAATGATATCACAGTGATGTTATCCTTTTAATCTTTCAATTTTTTTTACTTCTTAACCTTCAGTCCTGTTATCTATTTACTTACAGTTATCAAATGTAACCTCCACTAGCTTGTTATCCACTGATATCTTATTATTATGTTATATTATTCTCATTTTAGCTTTATTTTATCAATACTTATTCAATTTACAATCTATTTATTCGTTAACATTAAGTTTCTTTACATGTTAACCTACATTTATCAAATGCAATCTTTATTAGTTTGTTATACACTCATTCCTTATCTTTCATCGCAATCTGTTTACCTATAACTTACATGCTATATACTCCTTTATTTTCTATTTTTATTCATACTTATTTTCCATTTTTGTTTGTATCTTCTAAGTATAATACTTGATATTTTAACTACATTGTCACCCACTATATCTCTGATATCATCTTTTAGTTCTGTATCAGACAACATATTCTTATTTTATATCTCCTTATATTCACTTAGTTTCACCATGTTTTGTATCTTTTGTAGCCCTGATAAAGACCTACAAAGTTGGTCGAAACGTCGGAAAAAATTAAGTAATTCTACTTATTTAATTTAGTATTAATTTTTCCGCACCCCCCGATCAACTCCTTCTCATATTATATCAACGGTCAACCATCTCTACTCTACTCTAATTGTTAACAATATGAGGAAGGCAGTAAACAAATGACCATAGGAGATTATATTATTTTTAAAACATAAAGCAATTTATTAGACCTGTTTTATTGTATATATGTAATTTTAAATGAAATTATATTAGTGAAGTGTATATTTCTTTGTTTAACCAAGAAAAACGCTGGGGAAACTATACTAATTTAGTTGATAGATTTTTTTTTTTTTAATATGAAGGTATTGAATAAATATTTTGTCAATATTAATAATTAAAAATAAGATTCATAGGGCCCTCTTCGACTCACTTGGTACGTTTCAAGTTAGAGTTGAGTTGCATGATCGAATAATCAGTAATACTGGTTTGGTGTTGAGCCGAGTGAGCTAATCATGGATTTCAACGCCTCGATGGAGGATCGAGCCAAATACTACGCAAACTTGGGAATTCTTTTGAAATTCGCTTGGGATTCATGAGGAAAACGCTGAGGCTACGGAGTAGGTACTATATCTGTATAAGCTTCAGTACGAATGTTTTCTTTTACTTTAACTTAAGAAATATATAGGTTGCCCTCTAAGTAAAAAGAATCTTTAAAGGCATGTTAGTAGATCTTATATAATAATAATTATATTCAAAAACATTTTATTTAAACTGTAGTTCGATATTTGGAAGAAAAAAATGGAGAATGGAGTTTTGTATTTTTTTTTTTAAGTAAGAAACGTGTTCTGTTGAATAGGAAGGGATAACTGAAAAAATATATTATATATTATTTCCCAAATATATATCTCTTTTCCGGCTCTCAGGAGTGATGCATTTTGACGATTGAAATATTAATAAAAATGGAATATCACGTAGAGAGCCCGAATCGTAATTTTGATTCTTAATTTTATACTAGGCCATTACATACATATTGCAAAGTGCAAGACCAAGACCAAGGCCGCCTAACTGTTGCAAGACCAACACCATGACAGTTAAAAAAAATCGATTTTTTAAATAAAAATTGAGGCAAAATAGTTACTTATACTAATACTTGACAATGTTAGTTACTATACGTAAAAAATTGTAAAACCAATATACTTTTGCCTTTAACTCCTCTAATTATTCGTTCGAGCTTACTTAGGTTTCTCCTATCTAAAAAATTATAGTAACATCTCTATGGTGGTCAGTCAAAAAGGAAGGCAAAAATAAATGATAATATTTATTTTTTACATATGTTTTACTGAAGTTCAGGCCTTCATCAGGGCTAAGAAAATAACCAGATAACAAGGTATGAGAAACATAAGTAGCGATGGTAAAAAAATAACAAAAATAACAAAAAAAAAATTAGAAAAATAAAATAGATAAATATAAAGTAAAATGAAATTGTTAGAATAATGACTAAGAACTAAGAGATAAATAATAATAACCGTCACAAAGTGTGGAATGATGAAGTAGGAATAATCAAAAAAGGTGACATAAGTGTTACAATGGGAATCTTAGAATAAAATGTAAAACATAAGAAAGAAATATGAAGTTATATAATAAATAAAAATAAATAGTAAAATTAAAACATTGAGAATGGGGTAGTTAGATGGAAAATTGAGATATTGTAAAGTCTAACAAGATGTACAGACAATGTATAATATAATAAAGAGTTAAAAACAGAGAAAAGGAATGAAAGGAAGGAGGGAAGAAATTGAGAAAGCTGAAATAACAAAGAAATAAAAGAATTTATTATTATTTATTATTTTAAAATAATAATTGCAATTTAAATTTTCACTTTAACTAATAGCCCATCGCATGGCGAGTCACGTCCTGTTAAAACTCAATTTGTTTCAAAATGTGTTTTTCCAAAGCTAGAAGGAATTGCTTCGAGTAGCTAAAAAAAAACTTTTACTGCGCGGGTTATGTTTCAAGTTTACTTCTAATTCAAGGAACTGTCCCGGGGGAAATCGTAAAGTTTACATCTAGCCTTTAAGGGCTTTGGCATTAGCTTGTTAATAAATGAGTATTGGGGAGGGGGAAAGTGCAGTGCAAGCTTCATCTAAAACGTTTAACGAGTTTTCAACGTGATCGTTACTGACCAATCAAAGAGAACCAAGAGCGATTCTGATAATGAGAATTGTGGACCAATTATTCGGAGGAATTTTAAAGGAAAACGAAAAAAAGGAACCTATCAAAAAATGTTTTCTTCTTTTCATTTTATTCGATGGAATTTGAAAATTCAAAATGTGCAGTTTTGATTATATATATATATATATATATATATATATATATATATATATATATATATATATATATATATATATATATATATATATATATATATATATATATTCATGTTTAGACATTAAGTACGCGGTAGAACTTTAGAACTTCCTCAAAAAAGTAAAAAACCTAGAATATCTGCAATGTTAGATCTTCTAGTTGGTTGGTTGGTTGTTGTATAGTAAAGGCCTAAAACCTGTCGGTCATCAACGCCGTTAATTAAATTTATATATATATATTTTGTGTCCTTCCCTTCCTCGCCCTTAAGGCTATACGGGGTTTTCATGGGCCAAGGGCTATGGGTGGGTATTTAGAAGACTTCCTCAGCGGCGAGAACTCGTGACAATTTTTCTAGTAGATAATAATAAAAGTAAAACAAAATTTTAAAAAAATCCTGTACCACTACAACCCATGGAGGTTCTTGGGTTCAGTACTATTATCGGGCCAGGTTAACACTCAACCACCAGGTTTTCCCTTTAATCGATTATTTAATTAAGGGTATCCACTTTGTAGAGGCTATCAGCTTCCTCTAAAGTACCTTTAATTTTATTTTATTTGAAACAATTAACTATTTCATACTAATCTTTAATAAAAAAAAGTTAAATATAAAATTTGAAAGAGTTTGATAATTAACTAAAGGGAATTTGAGATATCGTAACTGATAATCATTGTAATGAAAGAACCTAAGAATAAGAGCTCGTCTCAGCTCACCCCAGCTCGCCCGGAAGAATACTTCCATACGTAACATGAGCTTAATATATATATATATATAATACTGACTCCGACAATATTAGGTTTATATACATATGCGGTTTTCATAAATGCTATCCTTGTTATTATTTAATATATAATTGTATAGAATACAGCGATATAAAAATTAAAATGTGTATATATATGAATATTTAAACAAATAAAAATACTGACTATGAATTGTAAATATATATATAGAGTCAATAATTTTTACTTACACTTCCCCTTTGTCTGAAAATACTTATTCTACTTATCTTATTACGAGTACTCACTGAGCTATATTGATAGCTGTAAGAAGTGATACCTCGTATTCCAACAATACTTTTGTATAATATGGACTAAAAACCGTTTTAAAATAGTTATTGAAAAACTTAAAACCCTTCTAGTTACTCTCACATACCCATATATTATATATGTATATAATAAGGGAAAGTGTTTCGATTGTGAAAATTTCTAGTTTTCAAAGTGTTTCAGTTGTGAGTTTTTAACGGAAGTACAATAACCAAGCCTAGAAGGGAACGGTAAGTGAAAGTCGTGTGATGCGCGCACCAGATATTTTTTTACTGATCACCCCAACCATTATTCTCTCCAATTATTCATTACAATCAATTACTAAGCCACAATTTATTTTTACATTTGTGTGATTAAACACTTCAACCAAGATTATAAATAAATATGTTAAAATGTTTCTAGTTTTATTTGTTTACTGTAACCATTTATATATTTTTCGATTTTTTTTTAAGGATCTCACTGTGAGCCACTGTATATATATATATATATATACATCTTAATAAACTGATGCTGACCACAGGTCTCCTCCCATTTACGGTGGATGTCATGGCTGACGCCTGCTTGATATTCTCACTATAACCAGGGCCAAGGGCTCCACTCTTCAGTACTCGGCTATATAACACTTCGCGGCTCCTCTTCAGGCATTCAGTCCTAGCTTATCGACTCAGCATGAAGGTGAGTACTCACTGAGCTTGATTGACAGCTATTAGAAGTCATTACTCGTATTACAAAAATCTTTCTTTACAATCGAGACTAAAAAACATTTTAAAAAAGTTAGTGAAAATCTTGAAATCCTTCTAGCTACTCTCACTTATCCATATATTAAATATGTATATAGTAAGGGAAAGTATTGCGATCGTGAAAATTTTCAGTGTTTCAGTTGTGAGTTCAAAAGCCAAATTTTCATCTTCGAAAGTAGTTTTAATTTTGTTTATCAGGAAAAAATAAATGTCATTGTTTGTATTAATACAGAATCTATGAATATTAGCTATGAAATAATTTAACAATTAGTTAAAGAAGAAAATATTAGATATATTTTCGCAAGTCAAAATTTTTAGAAATGTAATATGAATTATAAACACTGTTACAGAGCTAAATATTAAAAAAAAATTAAAGTAACATAAAACATGTTTCACGAATTTAAATAGTATTACTTAATCGTATATGCTTTTATATTAATGAATGGGAAATAATCAGTTGTAAAGAATTAAATATAATTTCCGATAAAAAAAGGTGTAAAATAATACTTTTTTTTCAAAGCTTGGTAAACCAAAAACATACAGTGTTGAGAATTTACATGATTTATATTGATTGTCTTAAGTTTTCTTTAAATTAAAGAAATATATTTAAGGAATCTTATGGTGTTCCTCCTGTAAGTCTAACGGTGGACCAATCCTCATTTTACAAATTATACACCTGGTCATTTAATTTTAATACTCGCTGAACAAATCGTATAACTGTAATTAACATGTATTCTGTAGTTCAGATTGTATTATTTTTTATCAACATAAAATAAATTGAACGAAACAACAATTCGGATAAATTTTTTAATTTTAAAATCTATTTTATACATCGTGTCTTATTGAAGATTTACATTATAATTATATGTATTGCCGATTTGAACCATAATGAGGGGAAATAATTTTGAGAAATAAGAACAGTTGGTTTCTTCGTTACGGTCCGTCCCGCTTTGTATATGCAAAATAAAATATTACACGGTCATCACTAAGAAGTTTTTTACATAATACAGAGATCACTTAAAAAATAATAAATCTTGACTCAGAGGAGGGCGGTAAGAAGAATTTGTGTACCCACGGTTTTAATTCCTGGGTTTTTATTTTGCTTATTTCTTATTACTTTAAGGAGGCATAATAAAATATAATTGTTTTCATTATTTTCTCGAATCTTCTGCGTAAATGATAATATCAATATTATCAACGGAAAAATTGATAGCTAATCAGATAATACGTTTCCACAAACATTGGTTTCGCAGACAAACAAGTGGCCTTTACTTTCCTACCTATCCTAGGTAAGGAAAGCATTGCAATCGAGTCAAATTTCCGACATGCGGATCAATACGTTTCAGAGCCCCCTGAGTCCGAAAAACACATTTTTAGCCATTGGTCTGTCTGTCATGCATAGGCTATTTAGACTGGTGAAAATAGGACTTCTAAAACAATTACCTAAAACAATCGATAAAATATATTCTATCTTCCAGACCCTGTTCGCCCTCCTTGCTGCGGCCTCTTGCTGCCTGGCCGCCGCAGTGCCGTACACTCCGGCTGGACCGAAGGCACAAGGAGCTCTCCTCCTCCTACCGCACCAGCAGGCGAAGGACAACAACAACAGTACATCCACCACACCGAGATTTGTTACTGTAAGTAAAGTAATTCGATTTATATTACATCTTAAACAACAACAGAAATAATATAACCATATATTAATTTACAGAATGGAACTGACAACCTGGAAGACGTGAACGCCAAGTTATCAGAGAGACTGAGGCAACAGCAGGGTTCTGAACAAGGTGCGTACCACGTGTACCTCCAAGATGGCCGCCTACAGAAGGTACAGTACATCACTGCACCTATCACCTCCGGCCAGCAAACTCAACAGGTATTATAATTATATTATATAATAATAAACTGTATATATTTGGCATTTAATGTAAAATAATAATATATTATGATTTAGCAACAGTACGCTTCCAACAACTACAACCAACAGCAACAGACCCCAGAGATCCTGAGCCCTGACTTCGCGGATAAACGAGGTGCCTACTTCGTACAGGTCCCCCAAGAACGGATCCAAGCGTACCAGAACTACGCCAGACAGGCTTCTCAGCAGACCGCTCAGGTAATTTCGATTTAACATTTATTTATTTGTTTTTTTCGAATATAATATGAATAAAGATAGACAATGAGTAATGCAGGGAAGACTGGTACACCACTAAGAAGAAACTGCCATTTAACTTTTTCTTTTAAGTCTCTGATAATATTTAGAAAATGTTTGCGTGTGAGTTTCATTTTTGAGCCGCTGGAGTTCACCCTAGGGCTGCTAACTAATCGCGGTAGAACTATAATAGTGTAAAAATTATATAATATAATACAATATAAATTGTACAAATATAAATAATAAAAACAATATTACTTTCTTTCACACGGTTATTTTATTAACAAATTCGTTACTAATAAATAAAAAAATATATATAATATTAAAATCGGCAAACAATCAATAGAAATCTCAAATCAATCAAAGTAAATCTTGCATCCTTTTTAAACTTAAAAGAGATCTTTCAGATCCTCTAAATTGCTTTAGAGAGGTGAATATCTGTATGTGAATAAAGTCTTTGTTAGAGAAACGTATTTTATGGTTTTTGACTTTATCTCCTATTGAAGTCATATGTGGCCCAATGTTTAAGCTTTTACATAACTCTACAACCGTCTATAAATTGATTGAGAAGTGGGTGCACTTAGTGTTAGAAAAATCATGTTCAAATGTTTTTCCACCTTCACAATTTTTGTAATGTTTTAAATTTCACGCACCTTCATAGCCCATCAAAAGAATTCAGAGGTTTGCAACTGGACTATGCAAATGATGCGAACGAGAGCATTGTATGGGTCATAATTATATTATTTATTTAATCGGCTGTATAAGGTATTTTCTGATTGGATAATCATCTCATTGAATATAAATAAAAGAGCTCTGTTAGTACTACTTCCAAATTCCTAAAGTTTATTTATGATAAACTTAAATCAAATCTTAAACAAATTAAATCTAATCAAAATTTCAAAAATGATTTGATGATTTTTATCAAGAGTGATTTTAAGTTTTGATCATAAGGGTTAAAAATCATATACTGATCATAATTTTTGAATAACATTTTTACAACTAACAACTATTTAAACTCTTGAATAATAATCAAAATCAGAAATATAATTTTTGAGTAATACTTTTTTAAATCAGAAATATAATTTTGTTTTAATTTCTGTAATATATTTTTTGACTGGAGAAGTAAGTGGAAAATATTTTTGTCGCATATTAGAAAAAGAACAACATTATTTCAGAAATTTATAAGAAATACTGACTTACAAAATAGTTTATAATAGTTTAAATAGATATATATACTGCATATACCGCGTGTACAATTAAAGCTATTTCAGAAATATGATATTAAAATCAATTTAGTAACATTAATTTTATTTTTATTTTTAATTTTAGTCAGTATTATTTTTTATCAGTTCCAGAACGCAGCCGCCAGCAGCCAATATAGAGAGGACCCCACAGAACAAGCTGTGGTCCGATACCTTCCTGTGCCGCTGACTGAGGAGGTTGGGCAGTACAGCGGGAAGTACACTGCTGGTGAGCAGTACTACGGCCAGCAGCAGCAGTACAGTACCGGAGAGCAGCAGGCGGTGGTACAGTACTCGGAGGTACAGCCCATCCAGGGACCGGTGTACTCCTACAGTCCTCAGGAGATTACCAGGATACTCAGATATGCACCTGTCTACTAATTCCCCAAAAATACGCCCATTAATGAATACTCAAACCCTTTGTTTAGTTTATCAGCTGGATTTTTATATCAACATCATTAAAAATACATAGTGTAACGAAATTATACCTCGTATGTTCTAAAGGACTACTTTACAGTAGGGACAACTTTTGTACATTTTTCATGACTTTAAGGATAATTATAAAAATATGATAATATTTCTTCAGTTGTTACTGTATATGATTTGCAACATTTAAGTTGATTACTCATCAGATACTAGATGTAAATTCATCATTTTTGTCTTATATATCGTTCTCATCTGTATATAAGAGGTCTTACCAATATATAGCTTATACTTTTATGAAATTAATGACTTCCTAACATGAAATCTGCTTTTTTTCGTAGCCAGGGTATATCATTTCTTAATTATCAATTGTGATCTGTTATTTAAGAATGAAATAAATACAAGCTTTAAAACATATATATTGTCTGTCATATAGGCTCAACAGTTATTTTAAATATTATTTATATCAAATAATAAATAATGATATTGTTATTGAATTTTTTGTTTTTATTAACCTTTTACTTTATTATCCAAAAAAAAAAAACATGTCATCTTAAAAGTGACTATTTACTTCCTTTCACAAAATTAAATCATACCGCTGCAACCCATGAAGGGTTTTGGGTTCAGAACTTTGTAAGTAATTTTTGTTTTGAAATAAAATGAAATGAAAATATTTTTTTTATTACCCTGGGACCTAATGTCAATATCAAAACAGATTTCATATATGTATATATGTATATATATATATATATATATATATATATATATATATATATATATATATATAAACTTATCATAGATTTTAGAATTGATTTTATTTTTTAAATAATATTTTGACATTTGAAACATTCACGTCCTTCCTCAATCATGTCCACAGCAATCATATTTTTAAAAAGGCTTAAAATATAACATTTAAAAAATTTTTTTTTTTTTTTTAATATTTAATTTCTTTATTGAGTATTATAACAATCTGTCTGTTGGACATTGGTTATAGTGAGGTAGGATGACATTCACACTATATGTACAAAATAATAAAATAAATAGAACAAAATAATAATCAAAAGTATGTACAATAGACAATAAAATAAAATAACCTAAAAAATAAGAAAATTAAAACTAAGGAAAAAAAAAAAAAAAAAAAAAAAAAAAAAAAAAAAAAAACACATGCATACCAATATACAATCAGGCGAGGGAACTCCAGGAGAACCCTGCGCTACTCTCCCAACCGCGTCACTGGTACAAAAGCCAGCGGAGATTGGTCGAGAGCACTAGCCACATACACACATGTCTTGAGTGAAGAATCTGGCCATTGCCAGAACTCCAATTTATATAATCTACAAAAGGTCGCGAGGCCACTGCCGTTTCAACCTTCTTGGAGGATTATAGGGATGGGAGATGCTTGATAGGGATTGTGCAAGAGGATTTGGGTGGTAAGTAAGGTTCTGGTGAAATTTGGAGAATTTTTCTGGGATAAGGTCTAGGACAAATGGGATGTTAAGGTCATGATGTAGGGTTTTGTTGGATACATAGTAAGGAGCATCGACTATTGTTCGAAGGACTTTAGACTGGAAGGATTGGATGCGCTTGATGTTAGAAAATTTTGCTGATCCCCACAGTTCTAGTGTTAAAAAAAAATTAAAAAAGTGAAAGAAAAACCTGTTTCAGTACAAACCATAAATGCTCTCGATTTCAGTACATACATTCAACGGTTTTACAGCAGATGATCGGGCCGTGATCACGCTTAAAACTCAACGAATACAAAGTGAGAAGTAAGGATAGAATGACCTAGAGAGGTGAGATGCGAATCAGCAGAAAAAGACACTGGCGAGGTCGGCTAAAGGAGACAGAAAGCAAGTATTCCAGTTATGAAAATGGAATGAAATGCACTCTTCGATGCTTACTTCACAATAGACTCCTCGATGATGGGACGATATTGAAGTTGAAAGAAATTATAAACTCCAAAAATTATTGTTAATTAGTTATTCGTCATTCTTAATGGAGACAACATCAATGTGTCAATAACGTTAAGGTCTCAATCCCATTAACAGGCGCAGAAAGACGCTGAAACATTTTTAAAACTCCCCTTTAACAGTTTCTATAAAACTATTTAGTTAAAATTTTATTAAAATAAATAGTCCGTGGTACTGACGGCTTTTATCGAATCATTAACATCCGCCTGAAGCTTCATAAATAGTTTCATCTCATCGTCACCTACAACTATTTTATTTATGAAAACTCTTGGAATTGGGGCGCTTTCAATCTGGTGGGGAGGAGTAAACTTGACCTATTTAATTAGGTATTAATAACGTAAATACCCATTTGTTTTCTACTCAGATCGTAAGATAATCTGATCACAAAATCGGGAAATAAGATGGCCTTTAAAAATATTGAGCCATTTGACGTGACAAACACCCTCAAATTTTCAAAATAACGAGATTATAGAGGACAAACGGCCCAATATTTTTGAAAAGGCTACTTTTTTTATCGATTTTGTAATTAAATTGTCTTACGATGAAAGTGGAAAGCAAATGGCTATTTACTAGTTTTTAGTACCTAATTAAATAGACAAAGTTTGCCCCTCTCTAGACTGACGCCACAATTCCAAGAGTTTTCTTAAATAAAATAGTTGTAGGTTACGATGAGTTAAACCTATTTACGAAGTTTCAGGCGGATATTAATAATTCGGTAAAAAAGGTCTGTACCACGGACTAAAATGGTTTTGAAAATTTTTTTTAATGAATTCCTTCGTTTTTGATAAAATTTTAACTTATATTGATTAGGTTCTTAAAAAAAAAGTATACAATGAGAAACAAACACTAATTGGGCTTATATAAAACTAATAATGTAATAAGAGTTATAATGATTCTTTTGTGCCGTTTTTTGAGTAGTTAAAAATAAAAGTCATTATTCAGATCGACTTTTTAGCTAAAAACAAAAGAACTTTAAAAAATATATTATTTTTTTTTTAGATATAAGTTCTGTAAAACCTTCGTTTGAAGAAGAAAAAGTTTTAATTCCGAAACAACCGAAAATAATTAAAAATAAAGATTCCAGTAATACCAAAACTAATTAAAAATTAAAGTCATTTGTTAAATCCTATTCTTAACGAAATCAAAAGAAGTTTTAGCTAAAAGTTAAAATTTCTTTCTAAGCCCTGACCGCAGACGTTGCTATGTTTGACGTTTTTATCACTGTTGCAGTATTAGGTTTGTTATCGCTTTGACAGTTAACTAAAAAGGTGAGCTATAGGAGGTACGAAAATAAATTAAGATCCATAACATCCTTCTATGAAATTTAATAATATGGAGATTTTCATCCTTAAACAACAAGTAAGGGAACACAGTAATAACAAGCAAGGGAAGGGATACATGCTATTTGACACTGTCATTCCCCATTAGTGTTGCCCAAAATTGGCGGATGCAAGACCGGCTAATTGTTGCAAGACCAAAACCTAGAATGGACCCTGCTAAGAAAAAAACAAAATTTTTTTCTGAATAAAAATGAAGGCAAAATAGTTACTAATACTAGACAATGTTAATTACTAAATGTAAAGAATTGTTAGAATCAATATACTATTTAATTTTTAATATCCTCATTCTGAAAGATGACTGTAATATCTCTATAAGTCTGTAATGGTAACATTATAAAACATCGCCTAAATCCGACTAATCTTAGCAATGTTGTAGTGAATTGAATTGTATACACTTCTTTTGATATTTGTTTATTTCCCCGTTTACTTCATCAATGAAATCGTACTGTAATGATTTCTCTGATCAGTTATCAGAATAATTAGTTTAATTCAATTTTTTTATTTTTAATGTACATATTTAAAATTCGTTAAGAAAGTTATGTAAGTGGAAACACCAGATTTTTTATTTAAATAATAAGTAACATTGAATAGATTGTCTTCACAACCAGGGATCAAAGATTTTTGAGGAGGACATATTTTGACGGGTTTTTGTATTTTTTAGGAGGCAAATCTCGATAGGTTTATGAGTTTTCGGACTAAGGGAAAAAGGGAAAACATGGAACATAACGTAGCAAGTGTATAGTATGTGATCAATGATATTTCTAATTCTACCTTAACTGCTCTGTTTTTAAGAAAAGGCGAGCAATAAAATATCTTGGGAGGAGGGGGGATACGGTTCTTACGTCATCGACCTTTGGGGGGGGGATAAGCACCCCTGTTCACAACTATTCCATTCCAAGGTGGGGACCTATCACTACTATCTTTCTTGACAATGCTTTTAATGTATTTTCAAGATATTTTAATAATATAGTTGGACTTAGCTAAGTTTACGTCAATAAAACCTCTAAATGTACCTATTCTGTAGCGATTTTCTAAGATCTAAAGTAACATGTCTTCTAAAAAGCAGGAAGCTAATAGGTAATTTCAAGAGTCTTGCGCAAGACCTAGACGAATACCAAGACTGAGTGAGCAAGACCAAAACTCGTCCTGGTGCATTTAATTATAATACTAATTATAACTAATTTTATATTAGCATGCTAATTATTATAACACTTATTTATAACACTATATTGTTAATATTATGTAATTAAATGTAATTATTTCCAGAAATAGCTTATTTGCTATTGTCAACACACAAGTCAATAGACGCAAACGCGTGTAAACAGCACCGCATGTTGCTTAGATACCTGATAACGAAAGTTTAAAGGAAAAAATAAAGTGTGTCCACTTGACTTTCCACCCTATTTCAGAAAAATATTTACATCTTGACATATGTCCATCAAGAAACATAAAAAAAAAATGTAGATTTATTTTCCTGAGAATTGATCACAGAAAATATTTAAGTACGATTTATTTGATAAACTAAAGCAATGTAAACCGGCTTAAGGTAGATCAGTGTAAACATTTCAATGCCCTCTAATATTGCTGATCAAAAACTTTTTGCCATAGCCTGATTTTATCAAACAATAATGAAGCTTGTGTGATGCGGGCAACAGATTTTCTTACTTTCACTAAGTTATCTTTTTTCAGCCATTCAACCCTTTCTGACACCAGGATATGAATCCGTAAAATATTGAACTAATGGACAGGAGGGTGTCATGGATGAAAAGGAAACGAGAAGGTCGGGCTATTTGAGAAGGGTCTCGCAATCGTTTTCTTATCTACTCATGATCTGAAGGATAATGGCTTATTATCT